AGAAGATTGGAAGAAATTTAAAGACTATTTACAGAAATATTGCAAAATTAATGAATGTTAGAATGATGTCAGAATGAAGTTAAGTGGTTTTAGCAGCAATGTTATAAAGGTGTATGTAAAAATGGACTGTTAACAGGTGAGAATCCAAAGTTATAATATATTAAGTTAAAGGATTAAGATAAAAACAAAGAGGGAAAGAAATTGCTGAATTAACTAATTGAATTGGAATACAAAAAAGGGAGGTGTGAGGAGGTCAGGGAAACAAGGAAATGAAATGTAAGGCATGGAAAGATTGATTTGTTTTTAAGTGTCTCTTTTTTTTTGGTATTTTGTATTTTTTCTAATTTTTTTCTTTTTTTTCTTGTCTATGTAACCTTTTTTTTGAAACTTTAATAAATATCATTAAAAAAAAAAAAGGACTAAGGATGCTCAGATTGTTCCTTTTCAGTTTCTCATTTTTTCCAATCAGAAGTTCAGTTCCCCACATTGCCACATGGGTCTCCATATCAGCAATTTGCTGCAATTTTTTCCCTGATATACACACACTCCTTTCTGAAAGCGATTTCCCCATATATAATGCATTTTTGTATGTTATTTTCACTAACACAATTTATCCAAGTATATGCTTTTTTTGCACACATTTATTGGTTGGAGAATCACACTGTGAAATTCACATGACTCTGAATTTTGAAAGTCAGCTGTGTTTTGGCTCCAGTTTTACACAGTGTGAATTAGGTAGGTTCGCCTTTAAATGTGAACTGAATCAAACTTATACCCCATCTCAACTGAAATTCCACCTATTTCAACATATATTATTGCACGCCATCCCAATCTCCAAGCAGCAGAAGATCCCAGGGGTTCCAGGTGCTTACTCAGGGTTCATGTTTCATTTGGAATGAGGGACAGCAGAGACTGTGGTGTCTTTAGGATATATGGTTTATTTACACACACACACACACACACACACACACACACATATATACAACCTGAGCCTACAATGGAGGGGTTCACAGATTAACACCCCAAGAGGGTCTCACATCTTGCATTTCCACAGTCTTTGATTCTAGCAAAAATCAGGCATTGTTCTGTTTCCTGTCTGCCCAGCCTATCTACCCACCCATTTGTTATCTGGCACAGAGGCACTTCCTTTGTTGCCTTAATGGCCTATACTTATAGGACCGTTATCTCACCAGGAAGCTAGCCTGGCTATTCCAGGAGTTGAATCTGTGTTGGATCCAGGAATTAGAAGCGGGCTCAGGCACATAGCCTACCCCAGCTCCAAACTTTTAACCATATGTTTAGACTGCTTTTAGGATACGGTTGCAATTTTTCCCTAGCAGGATTCTGTGCCCTGAGTACCACTGTGACAGGCAGAAATCCATCAGATGAAGCTTTTCATATCATTTCATCTGCATATCAAGATACGCCTATGAGCTTTTCTATTTTCATGTAATGGCAGGGGCTCCTCATTTGCTGCTTGGCAGCAAACATAATGTATAAATTGTCCCTGGACAACTATGTAAAAAACAAAACAAAACTATATTCACTGTTTTGCTGTAACTTAACAAATGAACACTATTTGTATGCTTTTTTAATTTATAGCTGCTTCTACATGATGCCAGTAGGAAGCATATACAGTGGTACCTCGGGTTACATACGCTTCAGGTTACAGACTCTGCTAACCCAGAAATAGTGCTTCAGGTTAAGAACTGTGCTTCAGGATGAGAACAGAAATCGTGCTCCAGCAGCGCAGCGGCAGCAGGAGGCTCCATTAGCTAAAGTGGTGGTTCAGGTTAAGAACAGTTTCAGGTTAAGTACGGACCTCCGGAACGAATTAAGTACTTAACCCGAGGTACCACTGTATTAAAAAATGGGTCATTTTCTTCAGTAAAACATCATAGACTTTGATAGACTGTGCAGCATCATTATTTTACTGAATGATGCTAATGTAGACATTTTATTCATGTCCTTCTGCAAAAGTATCATTTGACACTAGCTCAGAGTTCTCCAGCAAACTGTAACAACAGTTCATGCTACTTTGCCTCCTTTCTCAAAGAATGTGTGCTTCAAAAAAGGAATGATCTAGTTACTTTTCATTGACATTCTTTCTTTCCCCCCTGCTCTGCCCATTCATGCAAAAGTGCTAATTTATACAAATGTAACTAGGTACAACCTGCATATTTCTTAGGGACAGCCCCTTGTTACAGTCTTCAAATGTTGCAATCTTGAAATGGATTAACCTTTTGCCCTTGTATATAAGCATAAGACATGCTTCTGTTTGCTGTCTCTCTTTTTGTAATATACATGGTTTTTCCTTTCAGATAACTTAAGCTATCAATTATATCTGGCTTATTACCTTAGAACTTTTCAGTTAGAATGCTAAGGGAACATGAGATCTTTCTAGTAAGCTGCTTCAGAACTTATTGAAAACACATCACTACGTAAACTGATTTAATATTTAGTTTCCAATAATCTTGGGAGTGGAATTTTAAAAAGAGAATGATGATTTGCAGTATTTTGGGGTGGGATTCAATTACATGCATACATATTATTTATAAATAATACAATTCTTCTTCTTCTTCTTCTTCTTCTTCTTCTTCTTCTTCTTCTTCACAGTGGTGCCTTCCCTGTGGAACGCCCTCCCATCAGATGTCAAGGAGGTAAATAACACTACAACTTTTAGAAGACATCTGAAGGCAGCCCTGGAACAGGAGATTTTATTATGTTTTTCTATGTGTTCGAAGCAGCCCAGAGTGGCAGGGTATAAATAATAAAATTATTATTTTTTATTATTATATTATTATTATACCAGCAAATTCAAGTTGTGCTGTTGCACAACAAACCCTCTCCCCCCCCCAAAAAAGAGGAACCCACCCCCAGGAAATTATGGTAAGGAAAGTGACTAGGAAATGCACTGGGAAGAGTTGTGTGACAATTGCTTGATGCAATGTTATATACAGTGGCGTAGCGTGGGGGGTGCAGGGGGGCCGGCCGCACCGGGCGCAACATCTGGGGGGGGGCGCTCGCACTCGCAGCTCTCTGCCCCTACCTGGCTCACTCACTCTCTCTCACTGCAGTGCTGGCTGTGCGAATCCGATCCAAGCCGCTGGGTCGCCGCCCACTGTGGAGGGGGGGTGCCAGGCGTGCGGTGCGGAGAGAGAGCGAGGGACTATCTGGGGGGAGGGACAGTGCAGTGGCCGCCCAGCGCAGTGCTGAGCGCGGGAGAGAACCACACCAGACCAGCCCAGGCAGCAGCAAGAAGAAGCTGGCAGCGGCGGCAGGTTAGGGGTTAGGGGGCACAAATTACTTGCCTTGCCCCGGGTTAGGGGGCGCAAATTACTTGCCTTGCCCCGGGTGCTGACAACCCACGCTACGCCGCTGGTTATATAACCTCCCTATAAACAAATTCAGAATGAATGAACAATAAATAGCTGATGTCAGCCTCCTTCAGACTTTTTTTTTTTAAAGCAATAATGGCGCATTAGTGGAGGACATACCTATTGGACCATCCACAAACCATTCTACTTTGTTTCCCCAATGTTACTGCATTATTGCTGTTTGAACTCTTGTGCTGTAGCAGAAGAAAAGTGGAACATTTGTGATGTGAACAGTTACAGGATTTTAGCAGGGAAATATTGTAAACGAAGCGGTCTGACTGCCACATATTATTTGGAGGTGCAAATGGTATTGAAAGCACAATTGTGGCGGTTATGGGGTTGGTTTTGTTTCGATTATGCATGTTGTGTTTTTATATTTTGATTTTATCTTGTGAACCGCCTTGAGACCTGTGGGTATGGGGTGGCATACAAATTTATTATTATTATTATTATTATTATTATTATTATTATTGCTTAGCTGCCCCAATAGCATATGAGCACAAATTATCATGAATGCTCAGTATCATCAAAGTTGTATGGAGGCGTTTATTGTCTAACATTGCTACAAGCAAATTGGGATGGATGCTCAACAAACAGGTCACCTGGAAGCAACCCTACAGATTCTTGGCACTCTTCAAAAGGATTCCCTGGGGGCCATGAAGGTGATGGCTATGATCCAGCAAAGTGCCTTACATATGTGCAAATAATTATTTGCAGGCATTGGGGTTTATCTGGTGCTTTCTTCTTTTGCAGCTCTCCCTTCTTCAACCACAATCTACATTTTAAGCTTAGACTTGCAGAAAAACAATATTCTAATAAGCCTTGTCACATGCCATTGGATTGCAGCCAGCATCTCTGATTACGTCTAGTTCTGCAGAACCTGCAAACTTTATCAGCCATATGCCGGTTATTTGCCAGGTTTGTGAGCAAAAGTAAAAAATAAAAGGGCATTATGGGCTTACGGTCTTCTTTCATAATTCAAAATACCCTCTAAGCATTTTCTAGGTAAAATTGAACTTTGAAAAAGTTCTCCAGATAGAATAGGTATGGGGAAAGGTGGTGTTGCTGCTTATAGCAAGAGACGTCACAGCTACTAGCCAATAGGTGATGGTAACCCTCTAAAGATTTGACTCTCTATGCACTCTATGTGGGGCTGCCCTTGGGTCTGGTTTGGAAGCTCCAGCTGGTGCAAAGTTATACAGCCAGGTTGCTGATGGGAGCTTCAGGCCGATAACATGTAACACCATTGTTATAATAGCTGCACTAGTTGACCATCTACTACTGAGCCAGGTTCAAAATTAGTTTAGGAACCCCTGGACAATTTGGGTCCAGAGTACCTAAGGGACTGCCTAAAACACTTCCTCACTCTCAGTCACTGAGATTATTTGTAGCAGTGCAATTGGTTGTCTCCTGTGTTGGCAAGGCTTGCTTGACACCAACACGAAGTAGAGCTTTTAGTGTCACTGGCCCAGACCTGTGGAGCACCTTGCCAACAAGAGATCCAGTGGGTCTGAAGCCTCTTACCGCAGAGACAGCTCATTTCCATCATGCCATCCCTAGCACATTGCTGAGAGGTGTTCTTGTGAAAATTGCTCCTCCACACTATGAGCAGCTACACATGGAGAGCTCAGCTGGTTAGAGCATGGTGCTGATAACACTGAGGTCGCAGGTTCGGTCCCTGTATGGGACAGCTGCAAATTCCTGCATGGCAGGGAGTTGGACTAGATAATCCTCAACTCTACAATTCTGATTGACTCACCATGCTGAGGCCACCATGCAGCTATTGGTGGGAACTGGGCCTAAGAAGCCATTGCTCTTGGCCCTTGAAGTTACCACAGACAGCACATCTCCTGTACGTTCTTTAGAGTGCTTCCGTGCTGCTGCAGCTACACTTTGGGGTCACACCCATTCTTCCCGAACCTGTCTCTCTCACCACACCCAAGTATTTAATTGCCCAAAGCTGGCTTTTTTCTGCTGAGCACTACTCACACTGCTCCCCTCCCTTCAACTCAGATACTCTCCACAAGGGCATGCCACAACTAATAAGCTTCACTGTTATCCTCATATGCAGTTTAACTGTGACTCACTTTAGAGTGGGCAGCACAGCTTTCCTTCTAAGCCTCCACACAATGTATTCATGCTAATATTCTGGCTGCGGCAGAATATTGTTTTCTTATTGTTTAAGGCACGGGCGTTTAACAGAGAGGAGAGGACACTGTTGGGTTTTCAAATGTGCTGTGTGGAAACTGAAAGCAGCAGTCAAGGCAAGGAAGGCTCTGTTGTATACCCCCAATGTTGAAATCCTATGAATGTTTACGCAGAAGTAAGCACCACTCCCAAATATGTGTGTATATAATTGCACCCTAAATGCTGTTGCTTCCAATGCCTTTGCCAGGAACAACAGTGTTTGTTTTACTTTAGTTTGAGTTATACACCACCCTATTTTAGAGACTAACAGTGCAAGCCATGTATAGTCAACAATAAGTCCTATTGGGGCTTACTCCCAGGTAAGTAGGGTTAGGATTACAAAATGAGGGATTGGGGGTTTGGTGACCCAAATCGTTGCATTCTTGTGCTATACCATCGCTTGTCCATACCGGAGTTTACTGTGTGTTGGCAGCAATTTGAGTTCCCGTTTAATTTGGACAGCCCACATGATGTTACGCTCCAACGACACCTGTCTTGATGCAGACCAATACATCTACTCTCCTGGAATAATTATTTCCTTCTGACTTTAGTGTGCTGCATACACACACACCTATAGCAAGAGCAATGTACATAAAGCAGCATTTATTTATTATTATACCTCCCCATTCTCCAAGGAGCTCAAGGTGGCATCCGTTGTTCTCCCTCTCCCCATTTTGTCCTCACAACAACCCTGGGAGGTAGGTTACTCTGAGAGACAGTGACTGGCCCAAAGTTACCCAGTGAGCTTCAGGGCTGAGTGGGGATTGAACTCCCAGGTCCTAGTCTGACAGTTTAACCACTACACCACACTGGCTCTTTCTAAGTGGAACTAGGGTGGTCAGATACAAAAGAGGCCATAGCTGCTGCACTTTAAATTCCCTCTTCTAAACCATGACTGAAGATGAAGGAACCCTGGTCTCTTTTGTATCTGTCCATTCAGTGAGAATCTTGAAACCGAAATTGAACTATAAACAATGATGTTACATTCTGAGTCTGGTTAAAGAAGAATGTCCCGTGGTATCAAAACTAGCTAAATCAGTGCAGCATGAACTTTTGCAGATAATAGCCTGTATTACCACCTGGGGACAGTGCAGCTGATAGTTCTTTAAAGTATAGGAAGATTTCAACCATTACTGCACTACCCGAATTACAACCCATGTGGATTTGTGAGAGAGATCAAATTACCCCGCCTTCTAAAACCAAGGAAACAAAATAATCTCAGCAAGGTTTAGGGGAAATCCAGATTTAAATGGAGAGTGGGGAGTCATTTGCCACGTGGCTAACTGAGCCCCCAAATTATACAAAACTAGAGAACTTTTGCCTGAAAAGAAAACGATTCCATACATGATTAGACACAAATGATGCTGTTGAGTCACAGGCAAGACTTGCTGTGTTTGGCTGAACAGCAAATTACATGCTTTCCTTCCCAACTAAAAACACCTGTCCAACTAGATCACCAGGTTACTTCTGAAGGAAAAAAACAAACAAACAAACCAAAAAATGATTCCCTTGGAGCCATCCTTGTGGCACCACGGCAATGTACTATAAGAGAAACTGGTGGCCACATCCTGTGCTTTGCCATCTGCATTGTACATGATTTAAGAGAAAACTCTCCATTTGATCTCTTGGTCACACCCAAATCCTATTTTGGAGGGCGGACTTTCTTTCTCCAATTTCGCTCCACAATGCTCCACACATGCTAAGGGGCAGCAGACCAACTGAAGATCAGTTGCTGGAGAGGAATAGCAGGAAAGGGCTATTGTCTTAAGACAGGGAGCATCTTAATTTGCCCAGAGATTTGTGTAGTAGCTGGATGTGGGGTGTGTGTGTGTGTGTGTGTGTGTGTGTGTGTGTAAAAAGGAGATTAGGATCCCATACATGCACCATCACAAAAAGGATAAGACACAGACCTGCATGCAATTGCATAAGCTTATTTATATGCACGGATACAAATTTAGAAATACAGTCATACCTCGGAAGTCAAATGGAATCTGTCCCAGAAGGCTGTTCAACTTCCAAAATGTTCGGAAATGAAGGCACAGCTTCCAATTGGCTGCAAGAAGCTCCTGCAGCCAATTGGAAGTTGCATCGGACGTTCAGGTTCCAAATAACATTCACAAACCAGAATACTCACTTCCGGGTTTGCGGCGTTCGGGAGCCAAAACGTTCGACTCACAAGGCATTTGGGATCCAAGGTACGACTGCAATTCCTATCATTTGCCTAGAAATACATCTCGCCCTATTGGGGAAGACAGTGACCTGTGTGCTTGCTCTGTCTACTGTCCAAATGCTGGCTGCTGACAGGTAGGTTCCAGATCCCATTTCCCCTTCTGAGAGTCCTTTTCTTTAATCTGAGCTTGGGACTGGATAGCCCTTCTGGTAGAGGACACCTTCAAAGAGAGGCGTTTCCTCTGACAGCCCTTCAAAAAGTGGATTATTATTCTCTGTGAAGTATGAAACATGACCACCCTAAAGGAGATGGAGGTAAGTGTGTGCGCACCCAGGAAAGAGACAAAGTACCTAGCAGGGTCCCTGCCTTCAGGCCCTCCTAGCAGCCTCCTTCTGTGAAACATCTGGCCAACCACTGTGGGAAGCTGAACGCTGGATGAGGGGGGCTTTAGGACTGATCCCAGCAGGCCTCTTCGTAGGACTTCCAATTCTAGAACGTAAAGCAGTACAATGGAGTATGCAATAGAGTATATAAGTACATAAGTGATACAATTAATACATGTAAAAATTATTAATGAGACTATATTCTACTGTATTTTATTGGTTAATTTATCTCTTTCTTTCCTTTCAAATTATCCACATTCCTTTCCTTTGACATTATTTTTTTCCACTGAAAACTTTTGAGATATGCTTCTCGTCTTTATTATTTGCTTTTGGGGAAAAGAACAAAACAATGCAACGCTCATGAAAAGAGGCAGTGACTCTCATAAGGCAGGCTATTGAAACAGGGGGATTCAAACACTTGATTATACCTACAGAAGAATGGTGCTGCCATTTGGCCCCCTAGGGACTTTTGCATTTAGAGTAAAAATGTTGAATGCTCTGCACAGCAGACCCCTTTTCGGCTTTGCGAAGCAAGCGCTTAATATCTCTGAGTCATGGAACACTTAAAAAGGTATGAAGCAATTAGCCAAGCATTATGTTAAAAAGAAAATCAAGTCAAACCAGTAATATTTTTGCATGGTTGCCAGGTTTTCCTTTTTCTTTATTAGCAGAGCTGGCAGCTGCCCATCTGCAGGACAGCAGCCAAATGATCTGACAAGATGGAAGGCAAAACCAGCCATGGCAGCAGAACATCATGTATGCAAAACAGAGTTTGCCACCAAATCCCTGTAAAGTGTGTGCATGTGAGTGAGTGAGTGAGTGAGTGAGTGAGAGATTCAAAGTGGAACATGGGTAGATAGGCTGATAAAATACAGCAGAAAGCCTTAAGCTCTCTCTGTACGTGAACCCTAGAATATACAGCACAGAGGGGCCCCCTCCTGAGGGTTTTTTCCTCCAGGCTGCAGCAGGGAAGGAGGAGAGGGTAACTTTTCTTCCTGCAACATGTGGTGGGATTCTAGTAATTATCACATAAGCACACCCACTGGATGCAAATGGAATAATAATAATAATAATACCTCCAGCACAACTGCAGGCACCTTTAAACTCAATTTCCCAAGGTGCCAAGGCAAGGAAACTCAGCAAAGGAGCAACAGGGTGGGAAGCAGAGAGACTGCCATTTTTATTTTATTTTTGGGGGTAGTTGTTGCGCATACAATGATAGTGTGTTAGTGGCAGATTTATATGTGTGGACTTGACTGTCCACACATCGTTTCCTTCATTCGTTGTTCTGCAGTCCCTCCAAAATCTTGCAAAGCAAACAACTCCTCCAAGGCTGCGCCTGATGTCTGCCATTGGACTGAGACATTGCACATGCATCTGACTTCTCCACCCTGGAGCAGCCCCCGCCCTGCCAGGCAGTATCAGCCCTGCGTGCTGCAGATAAGGCTGCAAGAGCATGGTGGGTGGATCTTATCATTTCTATAACCTTCATGATGTGCCAAGCATTTCACAGACTTTACTGTGTCGCACTCGCAACAAGCCTGTGTGACTGCTACTACCATTTTGAAAAAGGAGTGAGAGAGAGAGAGCAGTTTAGCCAAGGCCAGGCAGCAAAATGCTAGCTTTGAACCTGGATCCATGTCCACAAAACTCAATCTGCCAGCCCAGGCTCAGCTCTCAGGCAAGGTCCAGCAACCTTTTAGCCTGGGTATGTCTCTCTCAGTCCTCAGGCCAGCTCTCACCCCTTATATGGCCTGTGACCCACTGTAATCATGTGACCATTTCTGCCCTGCCCCTTTTCTTTAAAGGGCTATGTGCAACACAATAAGCACAGGGGTCCATTAGAACTTCAGAGGAGACAGCCAAATTACCTCAGAATCTCTCTTATTCTGAGTAAAACATTCCCATTTCTGTTCAAAGCTTTACATTTTTCTAAGCCCTTGGCTTCACAAGTTAATTTTAGCATGTTCAGAATCCCCCACGTGTTAAGCATCCGTCCCATCTCATTGTTAAATTTCCAATACGTCAGCTTTTTAAAGAGCTACTTTCAACTGCTGCCTGTAATGTCTCAATGAAATTACGAATGCATTTTTTTAAATTTGCTTCTGTTATTTGCTTGATTGTGCTTCAGACTCCATCCCAGAATGTGTGTGTTCTTTCCATCTTCTAATTTTTATACTTTTGCAGATCTAAGATGCTCTCTTTTCTCTTCAAGATTGCCAGATGTATTTATAATAGTGGTTACTTCAGAGGATAGCAGAACTATTCACATTTTTCTAGAAAAAGAGGCGCGTTCACCATGAACACCTCCCTCATTCTCTTACACAGTAATGGCAATGGCGCCCACCTGACAGGTGCTGGAACTGGGTTCCGGTGAGTTCCGGATGAAAAAAGCCTGGCACATGACCAAGTTTGACATGATTCTCATCAGCATGGGATGGTGAGGAGGAGGAAATAAGTAGGCATGTAGATTAGAGGCTTTATGGTGCAGTGAAAAGTAGGACACATTTTGCCAGACAATGGAATGGCTCCTTTGAAATTTGACCAGAACACTGCATTCTACTGATTTCATGGTGGCTCAAGACCTTGGCAGTTGAGAATGCAAATTTATTTATCAAGACTTGGTGGGTAGCCACTGGCTAGTAAAGGCTGAAAATATGGTGCTCTGGCTAATAACAGGGGGCTAGAAAAGAAGATGGAACTTAAAAGTCATCAACTGTAGACATGTTTACAGAATTAACCACTATTATAAATATACGGACCCATTAAAAAGTTGAGTAGCAGCTACTTCCCTCCCAAATATCCCACCTGAAACAAATCCCTATAGAATTTATGGTGGGCGTACCTAAAAGTAATTAGGCACTGGGCTCAGATTGTACAATATATAAAGTATAAACTCTGCATACATCACATGTATAATAGAGTACATGTGACTACTTTGATTGCAGTTACAGTCTTACAAGGAGAACAAATCCCAATAATACAAAGGGACCCTGCTGGTCTTTTATCAACAGCAGCAAAATTTCAATTACATGATTGCTGGAAATGCAGACGGACACCTTCCATGGAGGAATGGTTTGATGAAGTATTGAAAATACTTGATACAAGAGAATTCTTGAAAAGTGTTTCCCCTTCCTAACCCATATGGACAAGAAGAAGAAGAAAATCAGAGATGTTAAGTCCCATCCTTATTCTGTAACACGAGCACCAAAGTTTCAGAATGATTTGGAGGACAGACTGAGAGACTGGTGTTCTGATATGGAGTTTGGATTTTGATATCCCGCTTTATCACTACCCGAAGGAGTCTCAAAGCGGCTAACATTCTCCTTTCCCTTCCTCCCCCACAACAAACACTCTGTGAGGTGAGTGAGGCTGAGAGACTTCAGAGAAGTGTGACTAGCCCAAGGTCACCCAGCAGCTGCATGTGGAGGAGCGGAGACGCGAACCTGGTTCACCAGATTATGAGTCTACCACTCTTAACCACTACACCACACTGGCTCAGGGAACCCTGCTGAACCCTGAGAGAATTTGACCAGAACATTGCATTCTACTGAATGCTGAACCCTGAGAGTTAATTCTTCCAAGATGGCTCACGTCATACTAATACATAAATAATTATATAAGATAAACACGAGAACTTGGGGGAAACGCTGCTAGAGCAGACCAGTGGCCCATCTAGTCGAGCATCCTGTTCTCACAAATCAGATGCCTATGGGAAGCCTGAAAGCAGGACATGAGCACAACTCCCCTCTTTTGTCATAAAACATGCAGTGCCAGCCCAAGGTATTTTGCTGCCTGAAGTGGAATCTACTGTAAGCAGTCCCCCAGAACCAACACTTCACAAAGTTTCCCTGCACTATTCAGATTTCAATTCCTCCTGCCTTCATCTACAGCTATTCCAGTGTGCCTCCTCCCACCATTACCACCTGAAGCAGGTTGTTTCCTCTTGTCAATGTGGCAAGGCTGCCTTCATTAAAGTGAAATTTCCCTCAGGTTTTGACTTTCTTCCTTCTGGAACTTTCTCTTTGTCTTGAAAATACAAAGCGTCACTCTAGCGACTTGAGGCTTTCCTGTCAACAACACCTGCGATGATTCAACTTCTTCCACCCATTTCGCCTCCTCTTGGGAATTTCACACCAATAAGCTTTAACTGTTAGAATTTTTCTGCAAATCATGCAGTGAAATATGAAATCTACATTGATTTGGGTGGTGCTGGTGGGGGGTGGATCTCTACACGTTAGAGGTTCATTGATAAGACTGATGATATTAGGAATATAACTATTGCAGGTGTAATTTTTCTTTGCTTTATAGCAGGGATGGGGATCCTTCCCCCCCCCCGATGTTCTGGACCTGCAACTCCTACCAGTCTCACCCAACATGGCATGTGGTCAAGGATGATAGGCATTGTAGTCTAGTACCTCAGGTTGTCCACCCCTGCTTTAAAGAAGGCTGAGAATGATTTAATGTAGAACTATTTCTCGTTGGGTTGATAAACAGCTTTTGTCGGGATGTTTTTAATGTCTGATGTTTTGTTATGTTTTTATATATATTTCGTTCTGTGTATATGCTGTAAGCTGCCCAGAGTGGTTAGGGAAACCCAGCCACATGGGTGGGGTATAATTAGACGATGACGACGACGAAGAAGAAGAAGAAGAAGAAGAAGAAGAAAGATGGTGAGAGTTAGAAGATTATGGTTTTATAATTAAAGAAGGTTCCAAACTAGGAGGGCCAAAAGCCCTAAATCTATGAGCTTCCTGGCTGAAACAGCATCTCTTAACCTGAAATAGTTCCAGAGACTATTTCTGATGAGAGATATGCAAAAAGTGTCATTATTTAATTTAAACACTAGGCGGCACTGGGCTTATTTGTAGCTAGATGGAGGCCCACAGTTCTTATGGCTGTTCTGTTTTTGTCTAGAAATTCTGACTAGTGTGCTCTCTAAGACTATTATAATTATAATTATTATTATTATTATCACCACCACCACCACCACCACCACCACCGTTATAGCATTAATTTCCTCCCTTTGTCTCTAAGGCGCTCAATGTAGTATACATGGTTCTCCTCTTCATTTTTTATCCTCACAACCAGGGGGGAGGGAGGCAACTGCACCCCCATCAAGTAAATCAATAAAAAAACTTAACTAACTGAGGTTTGTCCCCCCCCCCCCCGTAAAGCCTGCCCCCCTAACATAAATCCTGGCTGTACCAGACAGACAACCACCATGTGATGTAGGCTAGGCTGAGTGAGAGACTGTGACTGGCCCAAGGTCACCCAGCGACCTTCATGGCTCTGAGTGGGGATTTGAACCCTGTGGTCTCCCAGGTTCCAGTCCCACACTCTAACCACTACACCAGGGTGCATCTGCTTCAACCTCTGAGTGCTGCAAAGCACATTGGAAAGGGGGGGGGGTTCAAAGGGAAGGCTGAGATGAGCCTGTCACCTTCAGATGCCTGCTCCTCCCAACACACACATCATGGTATAAAGTATGAATGTGACAAAATAGGCATCTGGAATCACATATATCATACAGGTTAAAAGGTGTATGATGAGTTGCATCTCCTTTTGGAGTGGCTGGTGGCACTGTTTTTCTCCATCTCTTTGTTCAGTTTAATTAGTTGTACCTTACAGTGCAATCCTAAATGGGGCTGGACTGGGTGCAAAGAGGTAGATCTTCTGTCATTCCTAAAGCCCTGGACTAGCGGGAGCCGGAGTAGGTGATATTGGGAGATCTACCTTAATTTTTAACTCCAAGCAGGTTTCTTTTGCAATCTCCCCAGCTGATTCCACTAGGGGATGAATCAATAATTTACACCCGCTCTAGGTTGGTGTGGATTGATTCTGGGACCTCTTCAGGTCATAATTCAGCAGATTCCAGTCAACCTCACCTGCCCCTGCAGAATGCACATTTCAGAGCCCCACAACATTGCTTGTAGTTGATCTAGGCTGGCCCTATTTCCCATGGTGTCTGTGTGCTCTGTGAGAGGAGCAGCCTCCCTGTCAACAAGACAGGGCTGCTGTTCCTAACTCTGTCCATCCAGCAGATCATTTTAATATTGCTCAACGTTTGGAACTGGATTTCTCCTATTGATGTTGCAAATCCCTTCCCTAGAATGAAGTATCCATTAGGGACAAATCTGGGGAAAACTTAAGTAACTAGGTAGGGGTGTGTGCAGTAATTAGCATAATATTTCAACAGATCAATCTGGAAAGACAAAAACTAGGGTTGGAATTAATGTTCAAGACAATAATTATTAGTCTGCGAATGAAAAAAATAGCCACAAGATGGCACTAGAGATGTAGGGGAAGCACTGCAAATGTTTTGCTTCAATAATATGATGGCCCGTTTTAGCTTTTCATTTGTTTGTAACATTTTATTTTGCAGGATTTTCATGTGTGCAAAATTGGTGCACAAACAGTTTAAGTACCTAAGGTTGCCACTCTTGAAAAAAATGGAGCTGTACCACAGAGTGTTTATCTTTATGCTTTGAAAAATCACATACAGTACCGGTACTTATTGCTCTTGGGTTTGAGTTTCTGTTTTTTTACCTTTTAGTGTTGGTTGTGTTATTTGTCCTGTGATATGCTTTTCAGAAATTGGTTGCACTTGAATTCTATTATCTAGAAGTGAAGTGTGTACGGGCAACAGCAGAGAGAGCAGAACCGTGCAGCGATTAAATTTCCAATAGTGCCGAACACTAATCCTTGGTGTTAGAACACGAGTGTTGCAACTACACAAGAATGTCTTCCTGTCGTTTGGGAAAACGTTGAAGCCGTTTGTAAATCCACAACTGGTTTTCTATCCTGTAGGAAGGAAGCCCTTAAAAAACACACTGGGCCTTTTTTTTTTAATCAATATGCTCCCACCCCACCCCAATAATTTAGCTATCTTGTTGGCTTGTTTGAATGCCTTGCAAGTTTCTTTAGGCTGCAGTCCTATGAGTGAGCTCTGTTGACTTACTTCTGAGTAGACATGTATACAGAGATTGTGCTGTTTGTCCCACAGGCGCCAACCCTGCCCCAGCCTCAGCCCTTGCCCTTTGCACACTTGACTGACTTTTACCCAGCTGCAGAGTGCTTAGCACTTAGTAAGCTCAACTGTCTGACCAGCCAAGGGATAAAATACAAACATGTTTGCTCTGAAAACAAGAATATGCACATCCATACCCTTACAGATTTTTTGGACAGATGACTTGTGCCATCTGCTCATCCACATCTTTATTTAAATCAGTACAAGGGTCTGTCTTTCCTATATTCCCACCCACCTTCAGGGATCACTTTATTTTTGAAATCCCTTCCACAATCTGTGACATCTTTGCAAATCACACCTTTCTTGCAGAGGTGCCAACTTTTCAGCTGACCCCTGTAGCCCTCCCTTCAACAAATATTTTTATCAACAGCAGTTAGCAGGTGATGATGTTTACTTCCACACCAGGGCAAGAGACAGGAGAAGGACAGGCCTCTTCCTTCTTGATGCCATTACCTGATCTGCTGTGATGTCACAGCAATGTCAGAGGTCCTCTGGTCCCCATTGCCTTGACTGCTCTCTTCTCATGTGCTGCTTCCACTTCAGCTCTACGAAGGCATTGCTTTTCTGCAATAATCTGAAAACCAAATCAAAACCATTGTTCCATATGACTCAACACAGAAAGAGAAGAAGTTATATTGCTTGTTTTTATATTGCTCTAATGTTTCCATATGAATTGTTGCATGATTAGTTTGATTTCATGGCCCATCTGCACTGTATATTTATAGCAGCATCATACCCCTTTAAGCATGGCTTCCTGGGAGCTGTGGTTTGTTAAGGGTGCTGAGAGTTTCCTTCAAAGAGCAAAAGTTCTCAATAGTTCCCTAGAAAGAGGGATTGACTGATAAATAACTCACCAGTACTACATCTCTGTGGGGGGAAATGGAGGTTTCCTAACATCTATCCCCCTCCAAAAGCTCAATAACAGATTTACACTTTTGGGAATATGTTCCCTGTAGGTGGGAACTTTTAATTTCTGGCTTTCTCTTGTTCTTCCACTGCCTTTTTAAACTGTAAAATGGTGCTGCTTGGATGCTAGCCAATTAAGATAAGCTTTGCTGGGTTGCCATCATTATGGTTCAATTAAATAAATCTTAGTCAGTAAATCACCAATTGATTGATTAAATTCCCACTAATTGTGCATCTGCAGAAAAATCAATAATCCTCATTTAAAATGAGAAGGTTCCCCCCCTTTTGACAAAAAAAGAGGCTTTTACAGGCTTCCCCAAAGTGAGGGATCTAGGAATAAGGTCCAATTACTCCCCCCCCCCAATTGTTTCATTATAGCAACCCATGTTCACACAATAATAAGCCTAAGTGATAGACTACAGCCCAGCCCAGGCTGTAAAATACAATAAATCATGAACAAACCAGATGGAAGAGGTATGTCTTTAGGGCCTTCCAAAAGGCTTGAAGCATGGGAGACCACCACAGATCCAGCGCAGGAAGTCCCAAGGCTATGAGGCCACCACAGAAAAGGCCCTCTCCCTTTTTCCACCAGGAGACCTATCTTCATCATCAGAGCGAAGGAAGCCTGGATCCTTGATGCTATTCCCACGCCTCTGTGGCTCTGATAGCAAGGTAGTTGAGTTCATGCCTGAGGATCCTTTCACCTTGCCCAAACCCGCTGGTCCCCACATGGAGCGTTTTACCCTGCTGGACCACAGCCTAAACTCCTGTGTTTCCTACTGGGCCAGGGGTAGAGGCAATGAAGAGCTGGGAATTTGTCCGGCTGGCTTGGGAAGGGGAAGCCACATATAACCGGGGTGGAGGAATGTTTCATTTGACTGAGATAATTTTAGTAGATTGATTTGCAGCCCTATAACTATTTATTGATCACACTCGAGCCTATTCTTGCTTTAGAAATTTGAATGGCTTCCTAGCAGATCTCCCACCCATTAGCTGGATCCAGTCCAGACCTCCTTAGCTTTACCACACTACTATTGGATTGGTGTTCCCAGGCCAGGCACTTGGCTCAAATCCCGGCAAAACATCTGCTGCCATAGGTAATCTGACCCCAAAGATCAGTCATTTTTGACGCTGTATTAAGTAGCAGTGATAAGAGGAAGGCAGCAGCTAAGGCCGGGGGGGGGGGGGCGCTGAGCAGTGCTGGTGCCATCCACTAGAATTGCCAACTTTAGAACTCTTGTGCTTTTCAGAGCAGGCAAAAATTCAACAGGTGTAGCAGGCTTTCACAGCAGGCAGAGGAAGCAACAAGGGCAACATTTCTGGCTGTTGTGAAGCTGCAAACCTTGAGTATATAGGTTTCATTTAACTAGTGCTCCTTGCCAGAGCTCATGAAAGCAAATCCTCTGGCCAAGGCGATTAGCTATGGCAAGCAGTCCTGGCTTAAGTTAAGCCCTGGACATGAGTTGGGGGCAGAAAGGTGAATATGGCTTCTAGCAATCTCCCCCCACTCAAATGAGCAGCTGCAAGGTCTCTCTATCTTTCTCTGTCTCTCCCCCACACAGAGAGACACAGAAAAAGGAAAGTGTGTCTTATCTCCAAAGTAGAAGCAATGCTTGTGTTTTATTGTGGGTGTATTCTTCAACTCTTCTTGACAGAACAACAGTGCATTAGTGGCAAATTTATTCTGCTTTATCAGTTGTTATGCGACGCTTCCCCAATCCTACCACATTTTGCTGTCCGGAGGAGTTGCAGCACAATAAATGTAGGACGACAAAGAGAAAAACAAAAACCCCTCAGACTCAGAACATTGTGGCAAGAAAAGTTATGGAACTTCCGAAGGAAGTTGCAGGGTCTGCACTGATTGGAAATGAAGTCGTATGATCAGCCCAAAACGTCTGCAGGCACAAACAATATTGAAAGAAGATCATAAGCACAAATAATCATAATTTTAAAAAGGATGCTTGTAGGACTCCTGTTCTGTTTCTGGGTAGAGGCCAGTTCAGGTGAAATTCTGTCTTAAAACAGTTAGGCTACTTGCATACGATGCATATAATCCTGGGAACCGTATTATGTTGAGAGTGTTGGTTGTGGTAGCTCTATGAGAGGCAAACTCTAGCTCCTGGGGGGGGGGTCTCTGGAGAAAGTCATGTGCTTTAATTGTATGACGTGGGTGTGATCTTAAAGGCACAGCATCTGCTTCCAGCCCTTCAGCAACATCCTAGCACACCTCATGGGGCGATGGAAGGGGAATCAGCCCTAGGAGGTCTCACTTGAGCCAGAGATCCCAGTCCTCGACTAGGGTGGGCAGGTGAAAAAGAGGACAGGGCAGCGCAAAAGAGGGAATTGCACCTGGTGAAATTCCCTCTTCTACACAACTACCAAAGGTGCAGGGAGCCCAGCTCTCTTTTTCACTCGGCTACCTTACCCAGGACATAGGTTTAGAGGGATGGGGGTTCACGGCAGCATAGTGGGGGTCCTGAGGAAGTGATTTTCCATTTCAGTTCCCATCTGTGAAATGAGAGCAACGATTTTTACCTAATGTAGGAGGCTATTAGGAGGAGGGAAAACACAAGCAGGATAATAAAGCACTTTGCAAAAATCAACGCTTCAATCCTATGCATGCCAATCCGGGAGGAAGTCTTGTTGAGCTCAGCAGGAACTTGCACCTGAGCAAACATACTTTGGGCCTTGCTGCACTTTACAGTATCTCTCTAGGTTTCCCTGCCGTTTCTCTTCTGAAAACTTTAAAGCTTCATCCAGACGTCAGGAAGTTGCTTTGGGAGGAGTGAGCAACACACTCTTTGTCCTGCTCGACTCAACGATGTCCTCATTCCACACAGGCAAAAAAAAAATGCTCTTGCCTCCCTTTCCCATCCCAGCAGGCCTTTTGAGCAGCAGTTTCCCATGTTGTTTTGTTTGCCTTGATAATCTAGCTGGACGTGGGGGCTGACACAGACAAACAGCACCCAGCCCTTTTCAAAACACGCTGGTAGGTGGCTGCAGTTCACGAGAAACATTTTGTGTCAAGATCACCACAGGGGAAAAATATCAAATGGCAGAGGACAAGGATATTCTATCAGCCTTTGTGCAAAACTGTGTTACTTTTTCCCAAGGCTTCAGCAGCTAAAAAGGGTGGACCAGCGAGCAGCACGAGAGGAATGCCTCGTCTCCAATGGGTGCCACTTGTGGGATGTAAAAGGATATTGTTCAATGGGCCAAGAGCTCTACTTGAAACACTGTACCAGATGACCTTTCAGGAACATGAATAAACATTCTGCTTAAAAAAGGAGGAAAACTTTGCAAGCTACAACTTGGAATTAAATCATATAATCCAGGCTCCACCCCAGATTGTGGATAGTGGAGAACAAAATATCACTGCAAACAACAGTGCCATTTTTAGTTCTTTTCTCTTTAACGGCGGACACTTTGGGTGCCAAAGGAATTAAGGAAGTGGCAATAACTAACTGCCTGTTATAGTTTAACTTTCTTTCCTTTTTTTGCCTGCCTGATCGGGACAACCAAAATACCCAACCGTTTTTTGTCCTTGAAAAACGTACCAGGAAGTGCAGGTTTGCTTCAGCTTTGTACAGTCACTCCCTTCCAGGAAAAGCAGACACTCTGCTTCTGCCAAGTCAGTCTTGCTCTTGCCTCATTAAGTTCCTGAGCAACCTTTTCCGAGTATCTGCTGTGGTTTCTCCCCTCTCTCTTTCTGCAGAGGCCAATTATAAGCAAAGGCTTCAATGGCAATTGGAGGTTGCAAAGCGGTGCAGATCGCAGAGGCCAAAATACTGCAAGCACTTATGTAAGCTTCGTTCTGTCGAAAGCTGTCAGTTTATGCTCCTCACCAACCTTCCATAAGGACCAAATTAGATATGGCAGGGGTCAGCAACCTTTTTCAGCCGTGGGCAGGTCCACAGTCCCTCAGACCATGTGGTGGGCCAGACTATATTTTTTTGGGGGGGGGGTGAACAAATTCCTATGCCCCACAAATAACCCAGAGATGCATTTTAAATAAAAGGACACATTCTACTCATGTAAAAACACACTGATTCCCAGACCGTTCGCAGGCCGGATTGAGAAGGCGATTGGGCTGCATCTGGCCCCCGGACCTTAGTTTGCCTACCCCTGAGATATGGCATTTACCTTGCATCTATGCAAAGATGCACTTGGGTTGCAATCCTAACCATGCCTCCTCAGAATTCAACTGCTATTGAATTCAGTGGGACTTATTCCCAGGTAAGCAGAGTTAGGATTGCACCGCTTATTAACGCCGCTCATGCAATGGCCCTGTGTGTGTGCGCGCTGCTGTCCAACATTTTGTCAGTAAAATTATCCGCATCCACCCTGGTAGCTCTTGTCTTCTATTCTGCTGCATTAAAGGTGCAGATTTAGGACGGCCATGTGAATGAAGACGATACACATCTGCTGAAATCCCTTCTGGATAACTATTAAAGGTGCAGAAGCTTTGTCCTGTTTTCCATCTAGCTCCCTCCCCCTCCAATTCTGGTGGTCCCAGCACTGGTGGGAGGAGACAGCTCTCCCTATGTTTCAGCACTGGGCCAAACCTCTCCCAGCTCGAAGGATTCATCCTTCTGAGAATTTAACAGAATGACAAATTCCACCCAGTTCAATTTTTCACGTCTTTGATGCACTCTAATGAGAACA